CGTACCTTAGAGGGGAATGTTTTTTCAAGCTGTTTTTTAACCTTTCAACCATACAAAGTGTGTTCTACCAGCGTTAACTTGATAAATGTGTGTGGGTGTGTAACTTATCAGCTATCACTCATCAACCTCATGGTTATTGAAGCACTACCAAAAAGGTAGTCTATACTACTATGTGAATTCCATAAATTTAAGGTTTTCCTACTTTTTTAAACCGATGTGTGAAAAAGGAATCCACTGTGATGCTAATGATAGTCTGCGCTCTCGTACCTGTTTGTAAAAGTTGGTTTTGGCCTTAAAATTAATGCAGCAATTTATCAGAGATGTGCAGCACGGAAGGAGAGTTAAAGCATACAGGTGGTTCACACCAGGCAATTTACTGCATTTTAAAATGATGCAATCCATACATTACTAAAACTACTGTTAAGACATATATTGTATTTTAATGTATATAATGTAATGTATTTTTGGCCTTCTTAAGTGGCAATTAATCAATAATTGAATATTTTGAAAAGGAAGATTGTTTTTTTTAATTTGCATGAGTTTTTTTTCTTGTTAAACCTTCACTTTATTAACACTAACAAAATCAAATGTGTCATTTTATTGCTCTGTTTCTGTATTTACCTAAATGAGGAGATTTATGGGGGGTTTTTTCAAACCAGAATTCCATGAAAATGAATGGCACACCAGAGTCCTGGCCTTATGTCTCCCTCTATTTCTCATTATCTTTGTCCTTTCCTCTCTTTGTCTTCTACTGATGTGTGCTGGTATTCTCGGTTCATCTGTCTCACTCATCAGCGCTCTTCGCTGTTCATCTGTCTTACTCCTTCTGTCGGCCCTCCGAAATCGGCTGTAGCAGGCTGAAAGCCTTGTTCGCCGGCCCCTTTTGTCGAACCAAGCTACTGTGTTAAGCATCTTAGCATGAAAAGTCTGCTAGCCAGCGAGCTAATCCTGGTTAGCTGCTTGTCTAATCCCAAATTTAATGTTAAAATCTTGAAAACACTGATGCAGAGCAATACTAACACTTTCTAAAGAGACCATGTTTATATATTGTATTGACAGCATTTTAGATTTCCACTTAAAAATTAAGTTATAGTGTTGTTGGTTTTAATAGTTTTCAGTTTCATAAAGATTTTAAAGTTTGAGCATATTTGATCCATATCCATAGAAGCATCCTCCGTCCCTGGGTTCCTCCTGTGCATTAGTCAGTTGACACTCTTCTTATAGGAGAAATGAGGAGAGTGCTCTGTGACTGATGGAGCTGCTTTGTCAATGACAGGGGAGCTGCTGCTGGCAGTTTTGGGCCAAAGAACAGTGCAGATTACATTAACATCAGTCAAGCTGTTGTCAGACTAGTAGGACATAAATAGGACCTTATTGATGCATAATGCAACAACTTTTCATTGTGACGTTCTCTGAGTAATGGGTTCAGAAAGTGAGTCTGTGGCAAGAAAGGCAGTGTGCCAGAAAAGATCTGCAGAGATGTATCAGAAATGGCGCATTGGTTAAGTTGAGATCAAGTCGAAAAAAGAGTATTGTCTGGATAGATCGATATTTAAGAGTCAGCATGAATCAACTGACTTAGGGTTAGCTTGAAAACATGGCAACATCAGGCAAAAAGAGGCACATCAGTGTTTTTAGAAGTGGCGAGAATTAATTTTACTAACCACTTCTCCTAATTTTTTTCTCCTTTGCTGGATATCATATTACTGTTAAAGGGCTTTGACAGTTTGTAATAGAAAAAACAAAACTGTTGACCCAGACTCCAACAAGCAAAAATCCCAGAAATCCTTGACAGAAAAATTGCACTGTGCAGTTTGATCACCGCTGACACTGCCCCTACTGCGCCTCTCCACCTACTTCAGTACAGTCAACTTCACAGAGACTCACAAAATACAGGTGCAGCTAGAAGAGGAGCTGCCGTGCACCCAAGAAAAATGCCACTTCATAGACATAAAGTAGTAAAGTATAGTGCTCTGGATCCACGTTTTGCACCTTCAGCATAGATCCAATGATGTGACGTATTTGATATGGTATTCTGTTTACTGAGTTCCTTTAACCAAAAGTTCATTTTATGCAGTGAATGATATGTTTACATGCTGTATATCATGGTGGCAGTTCAAGCAGAAGAAATTATTAGAAGTTAATGTGAAAGTTCCAAAGGAAAGACTTGCATGGTCAGGTAAGACTTTAAGTTAGCATTACTACAGAGAATAATAACTAAGGAGTTTTGACAAACTGTAGTTGTACATATAAATATTTGAGACCATGCAATCCTTTTGTTTAGCAAGAGCCAGCGTCTGGCAGTTTTGAAAGTCCTCATCTTTCTTTAGGTCTAATCTTTCTTCCTTCTCGACGAAGCATTCTCGAGGAAGGCTGAATTTCTGTGAGGAGCGAAAGCTGAGGACAGTTCCCTGGAGTCCGGACACCAAGGCCCCCGGGCCTCCACAGCTCATAAACAGATGTGTCCTTGTCCCCAGCCAAGCGCAGCCACTCAAGTGGCAAAGCAGGGGCCCAATAATTGTGAAGAATAGAAAGCTAAATATTGGCTTTATCTCCTCAGTAATAAAAGGGCCATGAAATTGATTTAATGCTGCAGCGCTTCTCTTGGGTGGCTTCTTACAGCGTGAGCACAAAACAATGAGCAGCAGCCATCTATTAATTAACCCACCTAATCCTGCAAAGTTAATCTCTCACCACAACTTTGCCCGCAACTAACTTCCAAGCCAGTGGGTCTATTGGGGGTGTCATGACAATGGCAGTGAGGGGAAGATAGATTCAGCACTTAGGAAAAAGGGAGCGAGAGAGAAAGAGGTGGAGAGTGCACTGTTGTGCACATCAACCATGAGGGACATTGTAAGTGGAAATTCAGGGGTGCATGGCCGTCATTAGCATAGCTTCAGAGTCGATTTGTGTTTTAGTGAAAAGAGGCGGAGATTAGCTCTTGGAGTCGTTTTCAGGTGTGCTGCGGCTGCAGTAGCGTAGGCGGGGTGGATTTAAGTTGCCTTTTTTGTTGTCTTTTGTGTGTCCTTTTTCTCCTTTCACCATGCTACCTCAGTCTGTTATTCTCTCCTGAGCTGTTAGATAGTCGGGGGAAAAGTGGCATTTCTTTTTCTTCTTCACCTGCCTACCAGTCGCAGCATGATGGCACCTCACACCCAACTCGCACATTCATGGTCATATTGTGTCGACAGAGTTGTGAATTACCTCCTTCTCGGGCGGCTGATGAAAAGCTATGTGTTTTTCTCTTTGGCTGCAGCTCATCTGACCCTGCCCTCTCACCTCCCCCCCATCCCTCCCTCTGTCTCATCAGTCTTTTGTGTGAGTCCCTCTTCGTGGAATAGCAGTACAAGGCTGGCTCGGAAAATAGGTCACCCGCTGGTGCTCCTCTCACCTCTACAGCATTCAAAAAAAATAATCCTCTGAGGTATCTTGTGCCATTTTGTAATGTCTAAACCACAGTCTCCAGAATATAGCCAGAACACACAAAAAACACACATGCACACATATCAACTAAAGGAGGGGGGGAAAAATCAAGAAAAAATCCAATTGAGGGAATTTGGAGATCTTTTCTTTGCTAGTGAGGAAAGCATTTCCTGTGGAGATAATTTTAGGAGGCTGATTAGGCATAGAAGGTGTTGAGCCCAGAGTGAGGAATCTCATCACCCATACTAATGACATGCCATTCCTGTGCTGAGAGCCCAAGCCCTGGGCATGGACTAGTCTCTGTCAGCCACCTCTAGCTACTGTGTTCATTAAGGCCAACAATGTAATTACAATTCACAGATACTGTGTTGGCTTAATTACAGTCTGATTATTAGGCTGATATTTGTTGGAATAATCAGACCCTTTAAAAGTGGATTTATATTTGCATGGAATTAAAGCCTTGATTTTATTAGTGTATCACAAACTGCCTGATTTCTGAGTGAGTGTATGCTGTAGATGTGCTTTAAAGTGGCGAGCTTAAAGAATCTCAGCGTCGGGGTATAAATGTTTACATCAGTAAAGTATTTACATGAGAATAAACAAACACAAAAGACTTCTTCAGTCTTCACATAAGCTCACAGATGGAAATCTCTGAGTGACAAATCATCCAAGAGATGCCTTCGTCTGATTGTGGGAAATGTTTTTCTCTGCTACATATGTTCCACCTGAATAGCCAGACAAAAAAAATCAAAAATCAAAATGTGGACTGCATTACAGTGGATTATTCTGATTCCATAGACACTCACTGTAATTGGGAGCACTCCTGAACAAAATGCAGGGATGGTCCCCAGAGGTAGGGCCATTATGCCCATGTCTATGCAGCTCAGAAGTGGCTATAATCTTTCATCCAAAGCATGTGACATAAACACCCCCAGAGCCAAATTCCTCCACTAATGTAATCAGAGATCTTACACGGGTTTGTGCTGTAGCTGAATACAGTCCTACACATTTGCAGAAATGTACCTTTATATAGTTTGAAGTCATACATTTTTCATATATTCATTCTTACATGTATCGTCATCAGCATATTTTTCTGTATGAGTCCAAAGATATAGTCTTTACAGTAAGAGCATGTGGATTATATTGCTAAACATGACATTTCGAATACATAGAAATCAAATGTTGTGTATATGAAACAATTTGGAGATTGTTTATTTGAGTTATTAGGTGATTTGTTTAAAATCTCAACCTTCTCACGTGCCAGGTTGGATTTGACAGAGCTGACCTATGTGTCTCTATTTTTTCCCAGCTCGTTTTATTCCGTGAGTTGCTCGTGGCTATCGTTTTGTTTCTGTGTGTGTGGATCGAGCAGGTCTGCGGGGTTTTGAATCTCACTCTGTGTTCTGTAGGAGACTGCTGACAGATGTCGACCTAACACGAGCCCCTGTCTGTGAAAGCTATAGTTTTATCCTGTAGCTCAGCACTGGTATCAACATTCTCCTGTAGCTTTGGGAGGTACTCATCTCTGTGCACGAAGTGATGTGCGTGTGTATATGTGTGTGTATATGTGCCTGCAGGCTTCCCAGCGACAGCATATGGACCGGTGGCGGCGGCGGCAGTAGCGGCAGCGCGTGGCTCAGGTAGGGGGGCCCGTGGAAGAGGCGGCTACTTGGCGTACCCACAGAGCACAGGGCCAGGTAAACGCTCTGTCCATGTTCTGTGTGGCTGCTGCTCTCTTCAACTTCTCCTGCTCTGCTTCTCCCCATAGACATAGTTCCCTCAGCCCCCAACACACTTGGCAACATTTTGAATTTAGGCTCACATACATATTTAATCCAAAATATCTACATACACATCCTTTCAGACATAGCCCTAGCCGCTCCAGATCCCTCTAAAACATGAACCGGCAGCTTTAATTCCAATTCTCTCATCTGGAAGATTTTTAAGGGCTGATGACAAAGCACGACAAATTTTAATATGAATTCCGCTCATGTATGATAACATAGCTCTGTTTACTTTTGAGACAGTAAAAGTCTTCCCAGGAGGAAATTTCTGAAGCAAAACCTTAATGAAGAGGCGATCCGCGGTCTAAAACATCTGTACTCGAAGCTCTCAGGGTTTTAGCATTAATAAGAAATGGTTACACATGCAAGAAAATCTGATCTTAAAGCAGCTTAGGGCAAATAAAAAAGTCTTTCCTTAATATCTTCTTCTCAGAGTATGTCTATAAATATTTTCAGATTCAAAAATTGAGAATATTGTAACCCATGAAGCTAGGTAATGAATTTCCAGTTTGTCTCAGTATTAAACTACCCGAATGGACATTTTCCTTTGCCTCGTCCAGATATTTGTCATTTAGGTTAAACTAAGTTGCGTAATGTTTGGTCTAATGGTGGATTGTCTCTTAAAAGAAATAAATGAGGAGAAAGCAGTGGAGTACAGTAATGGCAGTCATTTTTGCTCCCAGACACTTTTCTTACAACCTGATCATCAAAGCACCGTGAACCTCGGGTGCCTTTGTGATCACCGTTGTGTCGGTTCTTTACGAACGTCAGCTTATCCTGTGTTGCTCTATATCTGTAAATACAGACGTTTAATAGGGAAATTGGAAAGATTAGTCGGTGCTTTAGCTGCCTGCTTGTAGAGATCAACTTTAAGTACACACGCACTCGAGGAAAGCGTTCTGACAGCACACACCCCATTCGCAAGCAGATGAATATCTGCCAAGAGATTTGTACCAAAAAAACAGGATGCAAGTTTCTTTCTGTCTTAAACAGCATTGATCAACTTGTCGGCTTCATTTAGACATCCTGTTTTTTCCCCCACCCTTACAACTGTAGATCATTCAATAGCTGTCAATAATAGCTCCCCTGACTGAACACACAGCCTCCAGGCAGTGAGGAAAAACTGTCTTTCCTAATCAGACATACTATTTGAAGCTTGTTGGAGCAAATGTGTTTTAATTGTAACTCAGATGTTGCCTGGTTTGTGCAGTGGCTTACAGATATAAAGTCAGGAGACAATTGGTGTTTAATGACATGTGCTGTGATGTGAAATGCACACTATTGCACATGAGCACACTGACAGCTACAGTACGGGCGCACACTACCTGCACGCACGCACACACGAATGCAGACAAGCAAGCTCACGCTCTTCTTCTCATTTGAACTTAATTCAAATCAACAGAGGGAACACTGGAAGCCAATCAGATGCTCTTTCTCTCACATCAAGCTATTTGATTTTGTATTTTGAAAACAAAGAACTTAACCAACAATTGCAATGAACATCACTAAGAAGCAGGAATGTTGATTTGGGGTTAGCAGCAGCCAGGAAGCAAGAGACGTGATGGCAGCTATTATGTACAGTTTAATTCTGACAGCTGCAAATGGAAGGGAGACAAGTAAATGATTATGAACAGGGGCGAAGGGGGAGGGGTGTCAGAGTGAAAAACAGTGACATCATGGGCCTGTTTTAGAGTACTTAAACAGCCACGAGACAGTTTAAGGAGAACTCTTTAGAAAAATGGCAGAATGTGTCTGAAAAGCAGAAAATGGAACAACAATAATAACAGCAGCAAAATGTGGAATATGAGCATAATTTGACTGAGCTCATAAAATGTCAGCAGATCTAAAACAGCTGTATTCTGTTTTATTGTTGCCATTTAGTATCCGCTCTGTTCTCGGGAGAAAAACTTCACAAATGCCTCTTGACGATCCAACGAGAGCAGCTCTCCATCTCGTGGCTCTGAGTCGCAAATGATTTATTAGAAGTCCTCAAGATGACGCCATTAACACGCAGCGTGGAATAATACATGGAGTGCTCTCCTCTCTGCGCAGACACAAACCAAACAGAGGACACAGGTTGTTTAGACTTGACCTTCCTCTCTGTTTGTGTCATCTGGGAACGTTGCTGCATCTCCATCCCGTCGTAACATTTAATTTGCAGCACGCTCGGCCCGGGGTGTCAGTCCAGGAATAGCAATGCTCTTGCTTTCATTTTTGCTAAATTCTCCACGTTTAGTGCAGACGTACATGTGGATTCCATGTGCTTTGACTCCACCTACAGTTTCCATAGAGCACCACATATTATATATGTGCTTGTGGACTTTGACCCAGGAGGAGAGAAGAATTGGCGATGATATTTCACCTGAACCGGATGCCACAGGCTTTAAATAAAAGTAAAAATGCACACTTGATAATCACGAGATATAAGTAGAATGCTACAGGAAAGCTTTTTGTGTAGGTCGAGGCTTGTTTTGAGATTGGCAGCGATACACAAAGAGAGTGTTGTGAAAATGAGGAAGACATTTTCCATCAGTGACAGAGGGCACTTTCGCCCGACTCCCAGTGCTCAGCAGACAGAATGACAGCATGCTGACCTCTCTCTGTGCGACAGACCACTGCTGATGACAAGGTGTATTTTGGATGGCAGTGGCCTGCTTCCTGCAGGAAACCATAGACACAGCTAAGTGGGCCTGTGCCACTTTTTCTTTGATCTATTACCATGTGTTTTATTGCTTAATCTTATTTTTTTTGCACTATATATTTTAACACTACTGCACTACCTTTCTTGCCTGTTTCCAGGCAATAAAAACTGCCAGTCAGCAGGGGGGGGAGAAATAAAACACAGAGTTAACGGTTACTACTCAGACAGGCTAATAAAAAGCAAAAGCGGTGATTGGTGTAATTCCAAATGGGTTTTTTTGCAAAAGGTTGGTGTTTGGTGTGCATTTGAAGAGGTGGTTTTTTTTGCTACTCTGATCCCCATCAGGTAGTATCTTGCACCTCTCAAGTGCAACAACGCTTGAGGGGTAGTCTTGATGTGTGTTTTTGGGGACGTTTGAGAAACTAGCTTCAGGCGAGAGGTAGATCAGAGAGATGTGGCTACTTGACAGAGTTTACCATTGCCTGGAGGTGGAAAGGTGCCAGTCCATACTTGGATTTTTAGACTGGTATCAAGCTATGACTGGGTGCCAGTGGAGGTTTTAAAAGGCAGTCGTATTGTAGCAGTTGGAAAGGCTGAGCATCTGTATATTAAGGCTAACATTGAGGAAATTACTTATTTGCCTGTATTTTAAACACGTACACTTTAACCTCTGCTGTGTATGTGAAGAACAAACCAGTAAATAGAGAAAAAGAGCCATTGTTGCCACAGTTATTGAGACCGACGGGTAGTTTATTGGGGAACTGAATGGTAAAAATTAGACATACATGTCAACAACAACCTGACCATTGAAATGCATGCTGAGAACATCACTCTGAATATTATAAATGGATATCTAACAAATAAAACACGTGGAGAAAGTTAGTAATTTAGCCATTCTTTTTAAGGTCTTCTTTCCTCCTCATTGTGGTACTCTTTCTCCATTTTAAAGTAGACTTATGTGAAATCTCCTGTGCGCTGTCAGATGAAAACTGAGAAAATGCAACTGATGCAGATGGTTCTGACAGTCCAGGGAACTTCAAAGGTCCCAGTGTACTCTGGTTGAGTGTTTTCCTGAGTCCCTCTGAGCTTTCTGAGAAGCTCAAATGTCAGTCTCAGATCTCGGCTCTACCTGCAGTGTACACAAAGCACATCTAACTGCATTTACAGGTCTGGGTACTTGCTATGTACAGTATGTCTGACTTGACTCAGGTGCTCGAAACTGAAATAGAGTGGCTGTGGCCAGCCCTATGAATAAATTGTGCTGCAGTATAAATTGCAGAGGTGGCCCTGCCAGTTTTATTGGGATTTAGGATAGTCGTCACATCATTTAAAACCCATTCCTCCCCTCAGTTAGCTGCTCCTCTTCTTTGTTCTGATCTCACGTTTTCTCATCTCACTTCTCCTTCCACCTCTTTTATTTCCCAGCGATTAAAAGAAAGGAAAAGTGACAGTCATTTCCAAGTTAAGATTATTATCAATTTCCTCCCAACAAGCTCTGTGATCTTCTGCAGTGCCTGAGAGGAGAGTAGGACTGGCTATGTGCACGAGGCTTAATCAGTCTGGCTCTTAGTGAGCATGGGTCCATTTGTCCCAGATGCTAATCTGCAGAGCTCAGCTCTGAGGCCAGAAGCACTTTACATGTATTTGCTGCAAAATAACATGAGCAGGCATGCCAAGCCCATCCTGCTCGGGTTTTTGTCTAAGGCCCAGGGAAAGATTTGACACATCGGGGAGGGCAAAGCGTCCCTTTGCACCTCCACCACAAAGCGGTGGTTCACAGCTGTGGGGAGCAGATGCTCTGAGGTTACAGGCACAGGCCTTCGGGGACATCACCGCTCTGCCCTCCAGGGGCTGCATACATAACACACTCTTCAAAGAAAACTTAATGCTAGGAAGGTATTTTGCTGTCAGTTCTGTGACTTCAGCTTAGAAATATAGTATGTGTTCGATACGATAGTGCATTATGTGGTTATTGCAGAACACTGCAGAATGCTTACTTTGCAAAAAGAAGCGCATAGTTTTCTCCACACTGTGTGGCTACATACTGTAGTGGTTTACATGTTCATGTGCAAATGAAAGGTTGCTGGTTTACTTCCAGTCAGAGACAAAAATCCCCTTAGAGTTGTGTTGGTAAGGGCATCCGGAGTAAAACTGCAAACTCAGACATGCGACCCTGCTGTGATGGTCCTTTGTGAACGAGGGAGCAGACAAAAGTAGCATCTGCAGTCTTTTCCACCCTAACAATAACACATGAAATAAATGGATGTGAGATTTAGCAACCCATTAACGTACAATCTCTGAGTAAGCATTGCTCTAAGAGTCGGTTCCTCTTTGATTTATTCATATATTCTTCCCTCTGTGTCTAAATGACCATTAGACGTAGCCAGCATCGCGCTCAGATTTCACTCACAGAGAGTCTTAGATTTCTTCAGACCACTTAAGCCTGACCAGACATGTTTGAAAAAAATGTGTTTAGCCAAAAGGCCAGCGCTGTCAGCTCTGGGGCTGCTCACGATGGGATAATCTGCGCCGACTGTCGATAACCGAGCGCCCTTTCTCAGTCCCAACCAGACCCGATCCCTCACAGGTTAAAATCTGCATTAAAATCATTTAGCATGGCCTGTCTGGGCTTTGCTGCTGCAAATTATTGCAAGCGGATTTCTTTCTCTGTTGCACATTGTTTTGCCCGTGATTCTGCGCTCACACTTTCTCTTGGCGCTTGGCACTTTCCACAAGTCGTTCCCCAAGGTAAATCCATATCTCTGTTGAGTTTGCCCGTTACGGGAACGAGTGGCAAGAAAAGGCAAGAGCAGGCATAAAATGAAAAGTAAAGAAAACAGAGGCCTCAGTATGGGTGAGTAAATGCAAGAAGAAATCATCTGTTAAAATTCATTAGCCAAGCTTCTCTGAACACAAAATGACAAGACATTAAATATGTATTATTTATGAAATGTCTGTGCTCTCTGAAAAGGGTGTCTAGTGCTGTTAATTACTCAGCCATTCATTCAGAAAAGATTATTTCAAATGGAAAGTGAAAGCAAGGCTAGACAGCAAAAGAGCTGTTAGTTTCTTTCACGCTATTTTTAAATGACATTGGTGAAAATGGAAAAGCTAATTATGGTAGCTCTAAAATTCAAAGCTAATTTGAGAAGCAGCATGTCAGGTTTATTGACATCTTCTGCAGAGTGATGTGGTTTGATGGCCACCGAGGAATCTTGCTGGTGCCGCAAGGGAAAGGGAGGAGTGGCTGCATGAAAATTTCTATTTGCAGAACTTGGTGATAGATTTTTATATTCCCCGATGCCTGGTATTTGTTGACTGCGTAAATAACAGATATGTTCATGTATATTCAAAGCTTCTTGCACATGAAAAGTCAATATTTTGGTGACGATCAGAATTCCAAACAGAGGCCTTTTAGCGAACCCTTGCACAGTAGAAGATGTGGACAAAGTGTTTTCCTCTGGTTTTAAAATGAGAATGATCCCAAACTCGACAAAGACTCCTGGTAAACCTTTTCACATCCTGAAGACCCACGAGGCCATATTTTATCATCAGTCTGATTATGGGGTTCTTTTATTTTCCAACTTGTGGGGAAAAAAAGAAGACTACTTTCAAGGTTTGTGATTCCTCCTTAAAGGCAGTCACCTGGCAAAGTGGGACTGAGAACAGGGCATTTATCCACTTAAAGAGAGCCACCCCAATGATGTCAGTAACAGATGACTGCAAGACACTCCCCTCTCTATCGCCTCACAGCCGGTTTTGGTCACTGAGGGCAGAAGGGAAGGAGGGTGGGGGCAGGGGAGATAATTATCAGTATAAATGAAGCCCTGCGAACGATTCGCACTGCTGGGTCCCCTGATATAGTCTCCAAGGCAACCTCAACACGCTCATTTGTTTTGTAGATGAGTAATTACATCCAATTAGTGGCCAGTGGAAAAAAGGAGTCCAAGAAAGGCCCATTGTTCTGGATAGATTGTGTGAATATTAATAGTGGGACGGTCTGAGGCACAGCGATATGATCGGTGATACTCATGCAGCTGTGGGCACACTCTGCCCATTCTCGTCCTGCATAACAGATCAGATAGCCACTGATGAAAATATATGGCTTTCCGAGTGTGGGCCTGCATGTTTGTGTCTCTGTTGTGCTCCTGTGCCAAACAAAGCCAGTTTCCTACCTGAGCCTCCCTCACCAACAGCGAGCTCTAAATGTTTCAGATTTTATTTGCCAGTATTTGCACCGCCTTATTCCCTTATTTTTCTCTAACCGAGCCCTGCCCAGTTTGTGGTAATTGATACTTTTAAAGGCTAAATTGCATAAGATTGGTGTTTATTGTCCTTGGCATGTGTTTGGGTTTTTTCTTCTTCTTTTTTTAATGAATGATAAACTGTATGGATCTGCATCTGATCCTCAACCCAGTTGATTGTTGTATGTTTTTTGGCCTGTTGTGTTGCAGTTTTCCATTTATTGTTGTCGTGAGCTTCTTTTAGTATCATCCAACATCATTTTAAGACCTCTGGCTGCAACTGGTGGTTGCAGTTGTCACGTTTGAACAAATTTTCTTCCCAGTGAGCAAAAAAAGTCTTCTGTTCACATAAAACTTTAGTTTTCTGGGTAAGCAGGAAAGTTGTTTAGAAAGACACAAAGGGTCTCACTGGGTTGGAACCTCACCTCAAATTAAAGGGTTCTCGTTATTTTTCATGTCAACCCTGACCACAGGTTTAAAGATGCACCCACTTCAGCTGATTGCTTTTAACACTATTTTTGCTTCAGTAGCCCTAATACCGTACTTTAATGTCGGTTTTGTCTAAACAATAATAACAGTAATTATCAACCTAAATCCAGCAAATCACCTACATCTACTCGAGAGTGTGCATGTCATCTACACCTTCCTAATGCTGCTACTTCACAAGATCACACTGATTACAATATGGTTCATTTTCAGCTGCCTTTATTGTCGGTTTTATATCGTATGAAAGTGACTTTTTTTTTATTGTACACTCACAAGGCGAGTTTGCACCGTTTTAAACTGGTGATATATTTGGAATGGATTCCTTATGAATCCCTAATAACGTGGTTTGTGCTATTGTCAATGTTTTTTCCCCATTATAATTATTCCATTGATCCAGCTTTTCCTCATTAGCAAGGCCAATCAATTTTCAGTGACATTTTTCTAAGTGAAGTAAATGGAATGATTGCTTCTTGAGCTTTGTTCAATGTGTCAGGCATTATGTGACGTACGTGGGAAGCCTGCCCTATTTGGAGCCTATAATTTGATGAGTGGGCAGACAGCCCACAAGTGGTGAGATCAGAGTGCTAAAAAGCATTGGCGGGGAGAAACATGGCTGGTGCTTACTTTCCATTTGGCAGAAGTGGACTGTCTCACTCTGAATGGGTAGAGGTGAAGTGGCTTTGAATGGCTATTCGCTCCAGGACCCAAATAAAAAAACAAACACACAGCAGGGGAAACCCAGCATGGAAAAGCCGGTGTCACCAATCTCAGTCCCTCCTGAGTAGATTAACTCTCTTATCAAAGAGGTGTGAGAAGGAGCAGTTTCTTTTAATTGCACTCTTTATATGAGCAGCTTGCCACAGATTAAGAGAACAAGCAATAAATGTCAGCACGACTTATTGCTGAATGACATTTTCTAAACTGTTGATAATCCACCATCTGTGTCAAAGAAAGAATTCGAAGAGGCCAATCTAAGACGTGCTCAGAGTACTTAGTACACTTGAGAATTCTTATCATCAATAAACATGAACGTGTCTGTATCTCATTCACATAAAAAGCTTATCAGTTTTTATTGGTCCAAAAAAAACGAGGGGTTTAAATTAATTATCGATCAGTGCGCTCTGTGTTTCTTTTCATTTAAATGACAAAAGCTTCCTCCAGGTACGTCAAGTAAGAACTGTCGGTTTGAAATGAGAAATGTATTGACCTGCTTTGACCTGATTCTTAGATTTTTTTTTTTTTTTTAGCTCACTCATTAATGCTTGCAAACAAACACTGGGACAGGTCAGTTATGCAAAGCTGTGGCCTTACTGTGTATTTTGTATTTATTGCTTTTGGTCCATTTCAATTAAGTTAATGAGCAGTTTTTAATTATATCCTTTCATGGAATTATTTTATACGTCCATTATTTTCGAGTTAGTGTATATACAATATAGCTGAACATAGCAAACACGGACCATATGCCAGGGGGTCTGGCCACATGGCAGGAGCTGCTGGGGAGGGAGGGCAGGGAGGGCCAACTAAAGCAGACAAAATATAAGGATGTGACCTTAAAATGGTGTAAAGCACCATCGAGCTATGCTTATCAATCTGGACACTTTGACTATGACAATGAACAAGTTGATTTCCACAATGATGGAGTCCCCTCCCCTCCCCCTCCCCACCCTATACTGTATCTCCCAGGCCTCCCCGATTATGGGTTTTACTCTGCGCCCAGTGACCAGAGGGGGGGGCCCTGCTCCTTTGCTGACTATGGCTCCCTGGGGCCCCAAGCGGCTCAGATGCTGCACAGTGAGCATGCCACCTCCGCCTGCAACTCCCCCCTACAGCACCTACACAGCCCGGATCAATTTAAGAACCCAGGTTTGTATCTGAGCATCTATCTCATCCACATTTTGGACTTTTCAGTTTGATTCATGACATTTTTCCATGCAGATGATCTAATCTTTTTTATACACATATACATATTTTCTCTTACTTTTGTTGAGGAAAAAAAATCCCTTTGAAAAATGATGATTAAAAAATGTCTTGCTGACAAAGTAGTATTGCATGTTCTTCCTCCTTTTTTTTTCTACAGTTTTTAATGTAGATCTTTTGTTCCTTTGTGAAGTTATGTTCCAGCCCCTGCTTGCACATAAGGGGGTCGACATATACAGAATGTAATCCTTCATTTGCATGTGAACCAAATAACTACTGATGATGTCTGAGAGTACACTGGCCACTCTGACAGAGCTCAGGTTTATGTTAATTTGGAACAGCAAAGGAGAGAGCAAGTGTGGGAGTGAGTGCCATTTTTTTTCAGTCAAGCCCTTTAGGAATTCTTAGTGTAAGAGTGATTGCCGTATTATTAGTGTGTGAAATTGGTAGAAATGCTGTACAGTGTTGAACACTTAATGGACAACTTTTTTTTGCACAATACAGCCATTACTCCGCAACACAAGCACATTTTCTTCTTCTGTGCTTTTTTTCTGATCTTCTCTCTTATGTAATCATAGCTGTTAAAAAGCAAGGGATGAGACTAAGTCAAATGGAGTTCATGTTGCGATTTCAGAAACTGCGAGCTTTATGCAGATAAATTAAATAGAATTTCAACCTGATATTTTTTGTTTGAGAGCAGACAGGAATTTTTAATATATGCTGACTTTTAAAATAAAAGTGTTTATGTCAAATGTGTGTCATGGTGATGGCGATCTTTTGACTGTGTTTTTACAGACAGTGTTTCTTTCATTAAATTCCTGCTTAGTGGAATATCGTCATGAGATCATGGGAACCCAGTGTATAATCATCCAATCAACCACCACTCTGGCTGTCTTTCCACCCAACAGTATAACTGTTTTTTTTTAAAAAAAAAAAGACAAATATACATATAGAAAGCAAAGCGATTTGTCCTGTCAGTCTTTTTGGGCTGAGGTCATGAGTGCGGGCAAGATTTTTCCCCCTAATGGTTAAAGTGTTGGCCAGCTGCCCCCGGCAGATGTTGGCATTTACTACAGGCTGTCTGTGTAACCTTTAGTACAGCTAGCAGACAAAAAAATGCACAAGACGAGCCTTTTAAAGACAACAAATTACAGAGATGTAACTTTGTGGAGTTGTAAAGGAATTGTTGGAGGCTTTTGTGATAATACTTGTACACATGAGGCAGCAACATCAGCAGAAAAGTGTTTGAGAAAACACTTTTCTTCTTATAGATTTGCTAAGCAGCGTGGACTGTTTGATGGGATAAACATCTATATAGGAGAGGGAAAGAGCTGATTTCTTCCCATCGCTGCAAGTACACATCAATCGCCCTTGTCTGTCGATTGTGAGGCTAAGTGACGTGCTGATTTATAGTATTTGATAGGCGATTTGGAGCAGTTAAGTAAAGAGTAAAGAGGTGTTTAGGTCAAAAGTCATGTTGCCTCGGCTCTTTAGCAGCACCTAATGAATATGTCTCTGCTGCACGCATGGCCCCTGAAATATTCGTTGAGTTGTTGAAGCTGAAGCTTGTCTCACCTGAGAGGGCACGTTCAAATCCTGAGTGAGTCAGCGTAGCTTAATTGCGTCGTAGCACGTGGGCTTTGTTTGTGGAATAGACTTGGAATCTGCAGCCAACCTTGAGCCTATGTGAAATTCAGAGACATTTAATTGTGGGTGTTTTGAAGGAGATAAAATTCAATCAGAATGTTTGACAAAAATGTAATTGACTTATAAATTACACAAGTATACAAAAACATCCGGAGATGGCAACTCCCACCAAGTGCAAGGGCTATCATCGTTGCAGGACGTAAAAAAAATGATAATAAAAAAATAATAAAAATCTCTCTCCATGCTTTTTCATGAGATATATTATTCAATATGGTTTCTTGAAATTTTATTTCAAGGTCAACTTTGACCTTGGTGCTAACAATGAAGGTCAAGGTCAAATGCTTAGCCAACCTAGGTACTCATGCCCTCTGAGGCCTAGTATACTGTTCTAAAATTTGAAGACAATCCATAAAAAAATTGTGGGTAATATAAAGGGTTTAAAAAAAAAAAAGAAAAAAAAAGTTTACATTTAGTGTGACCTTAACCTTAAACCAATTTTCATTAAAATTGAACCAGCTTGAGCTGTTATTGGTATCTACCGTCCCACAACATTTGAAAATGATATCTTGGAAACTTTGGACGCTAGATTGCTAACGAGCAGACAGACAAACAAACAGAACCGATTAAAAGCTTCCTCCCTTCAAAGGGCAGATAATTAGATTTAAAGATATGAATTCTTTAAATAACTGATCGTATCTGTTACAAACACAAGATTGATCATTTTCTCTCCAATCTTTTTTTTTTTTTTTGTCTTTATGAAAAAAGGATGTATATTCCAGATAATAACAGAAAAATGCGTTACAGTGGAGTCTGGCGTTCTTTTGGCTAAATGCACAAACCACTGCAGCCTCTACATCAAAAAATTACTTTCACTGAGAGAGGGGTGAGCTGCACTCCAATAAAAATCACCAGTTATAGGAAATGAGGATTGCCATTTCAACTGGAAAAAAAAATCCTTAATTATATAATAAGCCAGCCTACTGGGGGCTGTGTGGGCAAGATAAGCGCACTAGCAACTCTCCGTTTAAAGTCCTTACAGTTACAGCAGTGTCAACTCCACTAGATATATGTTTAGTGAGATGGCTTCATTTTCCTAGAGTGCCACACATAAATATCTGAAGCATGCTTTGAGGTGCTTCCAGTGAACCTAACCTGTCTGTTGCGGCTTTGATAGATGGAGCGGTGATACGTTAAACAAGGTGACAATGATAGTTAGTTTACCGTGTGTGTGTGTGCGTGTCTCCATCAGCGCGTTGGAGCCACAGCAGTCACACTGTGTCTTTTTCCATGCTCTACAAAGACCTCCTCTCAGGCATCACAGGGTTCATGAGCTAATATATATACACAAGATGGAGCATTTTCTGTGGTCGGAGGATTTTTCTTTTTAATGCAGTTGCACAGTTTTTTTTCACAGTTTGTCTGTGAATAAGGGTGAGATGGAGGGTTATGCGAAGCTGACAGCAAAGGAGATTGCTGTTAAGTGATCACTGCATTTTTCTTTCTCCCCGGCTGTTTTTCCTTGTATTGCTAGTGTTATTGGCCTTTAGCAGGCATATGGATTTTCAAAAGGCATTTTATTATACTGAGTTGCTCTTACTCACAGGGCAAAAGGTGGTAAGTCACGTACAGTATTTCTTTTTTATCCCCCACCCTACAAGTTTGGACCTGCCGACGAACTCGGGTCAGGCTTTTATATTTCCTCAGTTTCCCTCCTTCTCTTGCCTGACATACCCATTTTATTTTATGCTGGAAGTTACTCTTGCAGACTAAAAAGCTGAAAAGTGTTAAATATTATATGATTTTGTTTTGGGGGGTTTTTTTGGGGGGGGATATACCTAGTAGATCATATAAGAAAATAGAGGGTAGTATTTCAAATTCTGGGGCTCAGAATGCTCACCAAAAATTTCAGATCCTCATAATCCTTTGTTCCTCTACTTATGCTACAGCCAATGTCGCTGTACAAGTACTCCTTCACATTATGCATGTCAACATTTACACTGCAACCTTACTAGTTTATTAGCATGATGGAAGTATTTTTAGCAACGTGCCTGTTTTGTGTTGTGCATGACTATACAAAGTGAATGTTATTCCCGTGCATAATACACGCAGCATGTAGATTATATTTAGAATCTCATACTGGATTCACCCCTAATTTTGCTTGTTTGGTATGAAATTAAGCCAAAATCCTGCACCATTTTTCAGTCGATTACAAATTAAATTGAACGCACAGCATCAAATACAGTAACCTGTAATATGAGCAAGCCCTTCAAGACAAATGTATGAATCCAGTAATGCGTTCTTTTGATTTCAATTTGCCCATTGAGTCACAAGAGTAAGGATATACTGATCTTTGTTGGGGGTTTCTGAGCTGCTCCGCTCCTCGCTGTGTTTGTATGCAGGTGCCAACCCGTCAAGGCCCGGAGGTTTCCCCGGCGCTAATAGTCCAGGGCCTGTGGCTGACCTATATGGACCTAGCAGCCAGGATTCAGCTGTGGGCAACTACATCAGTGCTGCTAGCCCTCAGCCTGGCTCTGGCTTTGGCCCCAGCATCACAGTAAGTACTAAAATTCCGACTGCACCTCCTGCTTCTTCTTCTGCACTAAAATTAGACGTTAAAAAAAATGCAAATGGGCTTCAATTGCAACATTCTGTAAAGCAGCTCAGTGTTTGCATAAAAAGTAGCATTTATTCTTTTACTGAATTGACTAAAAATAATCACTGCTGTCGTCTTAGAAAATATCCAGGGAAGCATTTTTGCTGCTGTCAGATTCAGGGCTCCCATAATAATGTAGTACATCAGTGTTAAAGCCCATCGCAGCTCTGTAAGTTATCTGTGTCAAAAGCAAATGTTTTTCCCCTCTAGCTGTTGCACAAATCACCTCACTTCAGATCCTGCATCACCTGCCCAGAACAAATTTCTTTTATTTTTAGAACCCCATCTGTCCCAGAGCTGGAGTTCACTCCATTGCTAGGACGATGCTCCCACACAGGTTTTTGTGTCTCCCAGTGCCCTTGTCCAGTTAGGCTTGCTCAGCCACATGCTGTTGAACTTTTCTCTCTGATCGGTTAGCAGCTGGTCGCCAAGTCAGTGCGTAAGTGTTAGGACTACAAAGGAAGAAGAGGTGACGGTAATAAAGAGAATATTGTGAGGGATTTCCCCATCAGAGTGCTAATAATTCCACCTTCCTTTGAAGGTGAAGAAAAAGACATTAAAATTGTGCTCTCAAACTCCGTGTTCTCTGTGAACCGATCTATTATCATAAGTATTGGAGAGATCATCTTAAAGCCAGTAGGAACATCTTTACTTCTAAAAGGAACTCTAAGAAGAAAGTTTAGCCATTCAGATTCATTCCTCTTATTTCCCGTGTTTTCCCAACATTGCAGCAGTTTGAGTCTATGCAGGGTGGAAACCTAGCAAGAGCTAGTTTACTAAAGACATATGTAATGGCTTAACAAGGATTATTTCTACATTCAAAATAAATGAGACTTAGCAGTCAGTTCCCATCATAAACTACTCCCTCTCTGTTTTTTAGCATTCCTAAGACAGTTTTCTGAGAGCAGCCAAAGACTGAATGAGCCAAAGTTAAATCTGATGTACTTAGCTTATTTACTGTCAATAAAGGAAAAGGCTCAAACGCCACGAAAGAAGACCCAATCAGCACTTTGTTTACTCGTACGTTAGTCTACCTTCGACCTCGCCGAGTAATTAAATTTTTTTACCGTGTGAATTTTCTGGCCCTAGCAAAGTGCAGCAGGATTTCAGTTCACATCGGAGCATGTTTGTGCTGCTTTACATGACTGAACTGAGTGACACAGTGTAAACTATAAAAATAACACCTGCTTTCTGCAACAAGCTCATTAATGCATGGCTTAACTGAGATGGAATAACGACAAGCCCATTAGTACAGCGAGCGAGCGCCGAAAAGACTACAGGGTGAAGACGCTCGTTCCAAACTTTATAGTCCACATCATTAACTTGAATTTCATGCTACAGTAAACAGATATTTATCTTTTTATTTGTTTAGGTGATCCTCTGGTTGTGGTATTTTGTGGTGCTTTTTTCTTTTTTTTAAATCTAAGCCTTTGTGGCAAACTGTGGCTTATGCTGCATTCTGAAATCACACATGTTCTGAGAAGTACCACAGGAGATTTATCACGTTGTGCGCTTGAATCAGTTGAACTAAGTGCGGCGGTTTAGCGAAGATGTCGTGAATGTGACGCTTGCACTATACGGCTGTAATGCCTTGTTGCTATTGGATAATGTCACAAATGTACAAAACAGGTAAAAGAGCTCGTTTAGATGTTTGCAGCCGTGCGTAATTGATTTATGATATCCACGCAAAGCAGAGCTTAAGAGAAAAAAAACATTTTAAAGCCTTTTTCCTCCCTGAGCAAAGCCCCTATTATTAATTGCTTTAGGTCCACTGGCTATCTGCTTTAATCTGCTGGTCTCAGTGTAGGAAGCAAAATATTTGCTATGAAACACCACGCTGGCTCATTTTCAAGGCAGATTTACCAGCAGATAGTTCACAGATGGAAATGAGGCCATTTGTTACAATTATTTTCCATTTGTTGCAACAGTTTGTAGCCATAGTTTATTACTGAGTTAGAGAATAGAACAAGTCTTTTAACCCCCCCACCACAAAAATACAAAAAATTCGGAAGGGATGAGATTAATATTGAAGCAGCAGAGTGCAGCTGATTTATGAAAGAGGTGGGTGAAGAATATGCGGTGTATTTTACCAACATTATTCAAGCCGGGCCTTCCGATTCCCTTACGGAGAGTCAGTTTTTTCCCATAGTACTACTAGACTAAATCACCACTTCAGAATCACAGCGAATCAATAAAGGAGAGGTGATGCAGCAGGCCTCTGACTTCCTGCTCCAGCCGAGATGATCTCTCTATTCAGACCATTAAAATAGGAAATGATTCAGAACTAAAATTCGTTTCATAATTCACTTCTTTACCGAGGACGCTGTTGAACCAAGCGCATATAAGATCGTCATATCTCAGGAGCTCACGGATGACTTCAGATTCACCGATTTGTCCTTCTGTCTCACGCTCCACTGATTTTATTAATCCCTTTAGCCAGTACGAAAACAGCTACTGCGAAGAAGCTTTAATGAACTTAACTGTTTTTTTATGCAAGACAATTAGAGCGCAATTAGCTGATTGAGGTGATAAAGACAAGCAAGCGCTGCTGAAAGTGCTTCTCTCCTTTTCACTGTTGTGTTTGAATCCAATCATTTTTTACAGACCTGTCAGTAGGAAAGCTCACAGTGTCCTGATAAGTGAGCCTCAGTAATAAAAGCCATTCAATAGTCAGAAGCACACTGATCTTACTGAAGGCTGTTTATGATCCTATTCTCGGCATTCTTTCAGATGAAATCACTTGTGTATGTTAGCATGAATGGGGATTGTGTGTATTATTACATATTTTGTATTTAGATCCTGTAATCTGAGTGCTGCATTGTTATAAGAGCTTGCATTATTAAATGCAGTATGAATCATTTACTGTACAGAGCATATCTAACTGTTTTTAATATCTTTTAGCATTACGTGGCTTTTTCTTCCTGATGTAATGTTGCAATTATTCTTTTTGCAAGAGTGTTAAAAGAGTTGGTTTGATATTTCAGTATTCTCCTGCTCTGCTCCTCAACATGATCACAACATTCACATTCATGCTAGCTGTGAAAAAAAAGAAGAAGTTGATATGATACTCACTTTTCTCTCTTTGAAATGCATACTGACAAAAGCACTAACTGTACACTTTTAGGGCCCGTTGATTGCGACAGCTTTTACAAATGGATACCATTGAACAGGTGGCCGGTTGCCATCTCATCAGAGGTATTGCATTTTATTTACTGTGCATTTCTATCAGTATCTATCTGTACTATGTGTTCATCGCATTAATCGTTGTTCCTTCACCTCTCTTTGGGGAAACACAGAGCTGGTAGTAACGTGTGAGTGTGGCGAGGTGGTTTGTTTGAGGTCTTTCTCCAAAAACTAATAAATACAACTGATAAAAAGGACAGAAGATTAGCAGACATTACGAGAATTTTAATCATTTTGTGATTGTTTATGAAGGAAAGCTTCATATCGGTTACCCGCACACATACTACCGGTTCTTCAGTTTTTCTTTCCTCCTTCTTTTTGACATTTTGAAATGTTTCCATCCTAAAATAGTCACATGTCTGTGTAGAAAAATCACATGTCTTGCTATTCAACCAGAGGGGATGTCACAGTTTAAAGTGTTTTTGACCTAAGCTCTGGCTGTCCAAGGACAGGACTCTCATTACAATTCTTTCACAACTTTTTAAATCGAAACTGCAAAATCTTTCACTAACAAGCAGCCGAGGTGTAGGAAGAATCTTTGAGGAAGGGAATTGCTTATTACTACATGACCTTCTTTTTGCTAACACTGTCCCTCATATGTACAGCCACAATGTCATATATAAAACCTTGTCTGCCCTACAGATACTTGTAGATGTTTGATGTGCATAAAATGTATTTTTGTATACGTTTTTAAACTTATTACAAGAGTCCACAGCACGATATACCACACCTGCCACTTTATTAGGTACGTCAACGAGTATAACGAGCGTGGGTATGTTGTGGTCAAAGGGGATAGGTAAGATCAGTAACAGTAGGCTAGGCTGTAGCATTTAAACAGTGCTCAGTCGGTACCAATAGGCCCAAAGTTGGCAAAAAATATCACCGTCACACCACAACCAGTAGCCTGAAATGTTGATACAAGGCAGAATAGAGCAATGCTTTCATGTAGTTTCCACCGCATTCTGGCTCTACCATCAGAATGAAATTGTTTTTTCCCACTTTTGAGGTTGGTGACCCCGTGCAAACTGTAGCCTCAGTTTCCTTTTCTTATCTGACAGGAGTGGCAGGCAATGTGGTCTTCTGCTGCTGTCGGTTTAATTCCATCTAACCAATCAGCTACTGGCATGTGATTGGCTGATTAGATATTGGTATGAGCAGATATATCTAATAAAGTGGCAGGTCAGTATATATGCACAAATGCTAAATTAATAAGCCGTTTAAGTATATAGTGTGGTATTTGTGACAGCCTAGACTTTTTGTTATTGGACAGGCTGTTTTTACAGTAATTGGTGCTTCTGTTATGCTTGCAGGAAATTTTGACCTGTAGCAGTTTCTTAGAATCATATCCCAGTTATTCATGCTTCAGCAAGCCTGCAAAATACGTCACAGCGAGTATTATTTATGTTCGAGACTTACTCTAATTAAATGTATGCTTTCTAATGCTGTTGTTCCTTTTTTTTTCCTTCCTTTTTTTGTTGTTGTGTTTTTTCCTTTATCACCCAGCAGAGTATATCTGGTGGCCCAGGAAAGACAGGACGAAGTTTCTAATTGGCTTTGTGTGCAGGTGATGCTAATCCAACTTCAAGCACTACAGCGTCACCCCGGCAAAACGAACGAAAGTCGGAACCATATGAAGAAGAAAAGAAAATGTTTATCATCTCAGAAAAATAACAACTGCTGTACTATAATCCAAACCTCCTATAACTTTACAACCTGGTTTGGTATGATGTTTCACGTCGAGTTCATTCACCTACTTTCTTCCTCTGTTAGCTTTTCTTTTGATTAGCTTTGAGAGAGTCGTTTTAGTTGAACCTTTAATTTTGTGTCGTTTTTCTTTTCTTTTCTGGTATTGTTGTGTAAATCTTTTTTTTTTTTTTTTTTTTTTTCGTTTGAAGTACGGCGGTCATAGCCAAGAATATCTTCAAAGTCACGTCTTCATCTTTGTACCGGTGAGTCTAAAAGGAAAAAAGCTCGGGATGTTTCATTCAGTCTTTCTGCAAAAAAAAAGAAAAGAAAGAAAACACAAGAAAAAAAAGCTCAGTGCGGAAAGACTCGGAGAAGAAAAAAAAACATTTTAAGGAAATTTTAAAGAAGGTATCTAAGTAATAAATCTTAGTAGCTGTTTTATTTCTTGTGATGTCTCATTGTTAACCATAATTACCTATTTTTGGGCAATACAAAGAGGACTCCAATATTTTTATGGTCCTTTTTTATAAGTGTTGTTTTTGTTGTTTAGAAATATATATATATGCTATAACAAATTTCATATAACTACATTGTGAATTCAAACTTGAGAAAAAGAAATGTAGCTGTACATATTATTCCAGTCACTGCATATAACCAACTCAGTGAGAGAATAGCATATTTTTGTGATGGTGTGTCAAAAGAACATGTTATAGCGTGTGAATAGAAGACAAAGCTGTAAACAGTTATTATTCTACTTTTTTTTTTTCTGCTGGAAGACGGTATAACAACCCCACACGGAAACAAACACACGAACACACACACGCCTAGCGCACACACACTTGCTCTGTAAATACTGAAGCTGAATAATTTTACAAGTGTCATACCAGCAAAATTTACAAGCGGTGAGTCAACACAGTTTTGGAGAAATAATAATAATAATAATCATTTTAAAAAATAAAGAGCCTGATTGGTATCTTTTTGTCTAACTGTTACAGTATCAGTATCATTTCAAAGAGAAAGTTTAAAAGAAAAAAAAAGATGATTAAATCCAAAGCACACTGTACTTAGATCTGAAGATTAGAACTTGAAGCAGGCTCTGCGCATCCTGACACTTTTCTACTCTTGAGAGGAACTTGTTAGCTGCAATGTTGATGTTTGTTTCATCCTGCACGTTCCCGATTAGTTCTTTTTCTTTCCTTTGGAACACAACATCTGGGCTCTGTGCTCGAGTCTTTATGTAACGCTCGTTGTCCGACTCAGATCTTATTCTTTCTTTCTTTTTTTGAGTGAATTAGGAAAGTAAACGTTTTGATACCATACCTCAGCCTTCCTGAGTTCTCTTATGGAATCATTGGCAGTTTTTTTAATTTATTCTAGTGGCAAAACAAATGAAAACACTGAAAGGTAATTAAGCAAGTAATCATTGCACTGTGAGTTGTAAAGTACAGGCCATTTTTTTCTATTTGCACATGTATATGTTGGCTTTTTTTAAAAAAAGAAAAAGGAAACTGCCCTGTGCTTTGGGATAGCATGAAGGATTTCGGAGCTGGCGTGTTCTCGACTTGACAAAACACTTGAGCGTTTTGAGGCGAGTTCACAGCGTGGGAAGAAGTAACTGGTTATGTTGCTGTGTACACTTGGATTTCTTTATAGAGTAGACCCATGTCTCATCTGACGATATTTAATACGGGGTCAAAAGATGACACTGAATAATTCACTATCTACCACTGCACCGGGTTTTCCACAGTACGTGTGGTCGATGGTTTTACTCGTGATGATGATTTATTAATAATAATCATAATAATAATAGGCTCCAGTATGCGTTCAAGTTTTGAACTTCGATGCCGCCGCAGATGCGTTTGCTGTTTTCCTTTTACCCGCGTCTCGTCTCATTTCTTTTCCTTTTAAAACAACCAGGTAAAGAACTATGCTGGATTACTTTTAAAGTAAACGATATGGAGGTGTGATCGAGTAATAATTTAAACAGTCAAGAGAAGAAGAAGAAAAAAAAACAACTTGTAATGTTCAAATGTAAAAGAAAATAAGAAACACAAAACTATAAAAAAAGATGCTTCTTTGCTGATTTCAAGTTTAATCAGAGTTTTATTGATACTTTGTGGTTTATATATTAATAATTGTAATATACTATTAAAATGTACTGTGCATCCATTACTTTCTCTCTTTCCATTCCCCATCCTCAGAGATCCTACGATATTTTGTTGCTCATTCATGTACTTCATTAGTGTGTAAAGAAATCACAGTTAACTTGTAAACAGAGTGCTGTCTTTGATACCAGTGTAGTGCTCTTTGTTGTTCTCCCTTGCTCTACCTCTCCTTTCTCTCATATTTATCCCTCTCCCTCTTGCGCTCTTTTTCTATCTCCTGTAATTACAAAGTAGATGTTATAGAGGACTCATTAATATAATACTTGTAGTGAATAGTGGATTTAGGACCAGTCGAGATATACCTTTCTCTCAACGATCATGTTATTCTGGTATTTGCAGACAGTTATTTTGTTAGAGGTTCATTGTAATTTTTCCCTGTATGTTTTTTTTTCTTTTCTTTTTTTTTTTGGTTTGGTTTTGCCACTCTCACATGGTTTCAGCTAACCAAAGCTCTCATGGATGAACAATAGAGAAATAGTTGCTGTAAGATGGAATTGTACACAAGGCATTATTTGGATCCCCACCCTTGAATGTTTTTAAAGGGGTGTGCCATACTACCTTAAATGCTAATGCTAGATATGCAAAACTTTTGTGTTTGATTGTTTCTTTCCTTTTTTTTTTTTTTCAAGAGGGACACAAGCTGAAATCACGGGAAAAAAAAAACAATTTTTACTTAAGATATTTCATATTTTTTTAAGAGACATGCGAGTTATTACCACATACGTCATCAGTCACAGAGCTGTTTAAAGAGCCTCTTCTATCTTTTAATGTTTGTACACTTTGCAGATATCCCAGGCTCCTCTGGTGTCATTTTTTTTAGATGATACAGTTTTTGAGCTCTTATTTATTTGGGAACTGTTAATGACTTTTTTTAAAATCTTATTTGAATCTGTTAACAGTGTTTCTGACACTACAGAGGCATTACTGACACACACAGAGAAACACTGCAAATACTGAACAGAGAACCATTGGAGGAATATCAGCAGGTGCTGAGGGGTGTCGAGTTTGTCACGTCTGATTAATAGAAAGTTAAATTCCTGTCCAGAGTTGGACCTGCAACCTGAAGCTGTGATGCATTGCCAAGCTAGAATAGATTATTATTAACAACCTTGTCAAAGGATGCCTGGACTTAACATGTTTAGATTTACACAAGCAAAAACAAACTTATTAAAACAATGGGATTGCTGCTGGAGCCGCTGCTTGGATCCCAATACAGCCAGTGCAGTTGAGCCTTTTTGAGCATAATCTCTGTTTGCTAATTTACTGGCTCTTTAAATTAACGATTAATATTACTCTGTTGTTAATAAGTTAACATTAGTGCGCTCTTTCTTCCTAACCAGTCTGCACACAGCACATAGAGTATACAGCAGCTTTGTCAGTGATGCTAATAAGTTATCTTGTTTTTGTTTTTTTTTGTTTTTTTTAAAGTAAATGATGAAAGTAAATGATCTTTACTTTACTTTCTGAAGGTAAAATTGTTCTTTTTTTAAAAATTAAAATTAGGCAGCGGCCAACTATCGCATATGTCAGTATCTTAGCGAGGTAGAGTGATCACTCACTTTAGAAAAATGCAGTATTTGTGGAAAAAGTTTTATTGTTTGAAATATAAAAAGAAATGTATTAATAGCAGAAGAACAATAACTGAACACATTTTGGTTATAATTTAATTCTCAAAGTAATAAAGAAATTCCTCCTGTTCATTTAAATATTTTAATTGTATAATTAACTCAAACGCAACCCAGTCGCGTTCCAGTTTTCTTGGCGTTTTTTTCCAAACAGCATATACCAGAGCAGCAAGCACACACTACACTGTGCTGTCGCGGTGCCTGTTGTCTCTTAGTCTATAATTAACCCTTTTTCACTGGAAAGAAGGCTTGAAATGGCTTGTTTTCCCTCACACAATATCAAAATTGACTCTTCTATTGTTTTGTGATCCTGTAGCTTGGACTTTAAGGTAGCATGGCTCTGTTGCTGTAATTTCATTTTATCTCAAACTGACAGCAGTTTACAGCTGATGAATGTTACACATCTTAGTAGACTAGCTTATCCATTTGGGGAGAGGGGAGGGGACTTGGTTTAAGAAAAAAAAATAATCAAAAAAGAAAAAAAGTCAACCTGGAAGGTGTTGACATTTGTAGTGTACTACCGTATCCATTTAAACTTGAATCTCGAGGCAAGTGCTAGGCAATGGCCAAACAACCCCATCAGTTCGAGGTGGGGGTGGGGGGGAATCCCACCCTGAAACCGTACACACTTATGGGATTTCTGTCATCCTGGGTTCACAAGCGTTTTCTGAATATGAACAAACGTTTCCTAAAAGCTGGAACACCAGGCTTTACAGGCTCTGCTCCATTTCCAATGAATCAGACAGACTTTGAAGGCTCATTGAATGTTCTTGAGCATTTTTATCCAAAAAGAGGCTTACTCATAGTGGTGCTAATGGGTTTTTTGAAAAAGCAAAAAACCAGACAGTGTGCCCTTATCTCTGAGAGATACTGGATACCGTCACAGTGAACACAAAGTTAGGTCTCCGGCCAGTTCACAAAGTGACTCTCGCTAACAACGCTATTTAAAGTTTTTATGGCTCGATATATCAAAGATCAGTTCATGTTCACAAATCTGGACTGAACTCTTCAAGGTGACGGAAATGGCACAAGTTCGCCTGTACTACTGTGTTTTTGGGGTGAACTTCCCCTCCAGTCCAAACCATTGCCATCTCACGCCATGCTCATCGCCAAATATATACATATAATTGCAATATATATGTATATAGATGAATATATATACTTGCAATTCACGCTCATTTGAACTGAATAATATTAGACTGGAGACCTCAGCTGTATACAGAATAATCCTCGTCACACAGCCACGCCCAGGTTCATTTAGTCCACTCATCATTATTGGTTCGCCATCATGCGAGTTCTCCCCCGGCGTGTTGTCGAGGTTGGAGTGGACCGCACGGCCACGAGGGGTGTCCAGAGGCTCTTCAGACTGCACGGCCTGCAATGTGAGGC